CAGCATAGCCCAGCATGGTGGCTCAGCCCGCAATCCCAGCACACAGAAAGCTTCAGAGGAAGGAGAAGTTGAGGCTAGCCTGAACTACAAAGCAAGACTCTGCCTCAAGCAAACAGACAGATGGAGAAGAGGCCAACCAAGGAGGGAGAAAGCGCTGTCAGTAAAGTATTTGCAAGGTGGCTGGCTCAGGCTTTTAATCCCAGAGCTCAGGAGGGCAAAGGCGGGAGGATCTCTGTGAGTTCAAGGCCAGCCTAGCTCTGTCAAGCACAGGACCTGAGTTGAAAATAGATAGATAGATAGATAGATAGATAGATAGATAGATAGATAGATAGATGGATAGATGATGGATGGATGGATAGACAGATGGATAGATAGATAGATAGATAGTTGGATAGATGATGGATGGATGGATGGATAGATGATAGATAGATGATAGATAGATAGATAGATAGATAGATAGATAGATAGATAGATAGATAGATAGATAGATCCACTAAAAACGTGCATCGTGCTGTGGCACCGTCTATAATTCCCCACGAAAAAATATTGACAAGCACATCCCTGGGGCTCGCTGTCCTCTGCTCTGCTAACCCATCCCAATCAAGGGGTCACAGATCAGCGAAAGACCCTGTCAGAAAAGAAGGCGGTGACACCGATGCCGAGGACCGGCACCTGAGGCTGCAGACCACACGCGCATGAGCACCTGAACTGTAGGCACGTTTTTTAAAAGCGGGGGTGGGGGTGGGGAACGTGTTTTAGAATCGAGGCTGAGTGAGGTCAACTCTGGAAGTCACAGACTTTAAAGCGCGGTTGGTAAGATTTGCAACTAGGCCTCCGAGAAACAAGATGGGACAAAACTCAGAAACCGAGGTGGACAAGAGAGAGAATGAGGATGTAATTCACCCTACCACCCCCTCCGGAAAGGGATTCGAGGTCCAGGTCCCCTTTGGTTCTCCCTCCTTCCTGAAATTAAGGAGGTAGCAGGAGAGAGGAAGAAAAGATCTGAAGAGAGACAAAGAGCTTTGTGTGAGGGAAAGTGGTTAGACAGCAGGCAGGACTTCCCAGTCCTCTCTGGGAAGGTTTTGGGACTCATCCAGGGGCGGCCCCTGTCAGTGGGTGGGGCCTCCAGAGCTGCAGAGCCCTAGAGGAGAGACCCTAGTCCTCCCCGCCTGGGGTTTGAAAAGTCAGGGGGGAAACAGGGGGTTGGCCATCCTGGTTCCGCATCCTCCATTCCCGACACTGGAGGGGAGGCTGTTGTGGGAGATGGGACTTTCCTAAGCGCTGAACATTCTGGGAAATCAGAGACAGCTGCAGGGCGGGGCTCATTCCAGGCCTCTCTCCCTTTCCCTCCCCTCTGTCCCCACAGGGTCCCCAGGCGCAGTACCTTCCGACTTGCCCTAAGGGTAGTCCTCAAAAACTGCTCCCTTGGGCCAGTGAGATGGCTTGGTGAGCAAAGGGGCTTGCTGCCAAGCCTGGCCGCTTGAGTTTGATCCTGAGACCCAGTGGTGGGAGGGGAGCCTGCCTCCTGCCTGTTGTCCCCTACACTTGTGCACCCCTGAGCATGTACGGTAAGTTAGTAAGCAAATGCCAACACCAGATTTGTAAACACGTAAAGGCCTCCTTCCTTAGGCTTCTACCTACAGGCCCTCCCATCTCTTCAGAACTGACCTCCACTGCCAGATGCCTTACAAATACACCCTCACCTCCTCCCTCAGACTCTCACCTCCTCCCTCAGACCCTCACCTCCTCCCTCAGACCCTCACCTCCTCCTTCAGACTCTCACCTCCTCCTTCAGACTCTCACCTCCTCCATCAGGCCTTCATCTCCTCCTTCAGACCCTCACCTCTCCTCCCTCTGACCCTGCCTTTCTTCCACAGATCCCTCTCTCCAGGTCCTTTTGTTCCCTCCTCATCTTACACACACAACAACACCAAACACCAACTCTCCCAGCACCATGCTGCACCCGAGTGTAACACACACACTTTGTGTCACCCACTCCAGTCTTGTGAAAGTCAAGCCACCACCTCACCTGTCCCAAGTCATGCCCCTCAGTTCTGCCCCCAGCTTCCGATTAGTGGTCAGAGCTCCTCAACTTTCTCTTGGGCCTGGGGAACCCAGAGGAGTGCTTCTTTTCAGGGTGATTCCTGTTCTCACTTTACTGCCTCCCCCACCCGCACGGTGCCTTGCTGGCCAGAACAGAGTCTCTAGAGGCACTGACTTCTGTCCGAGCTAACACAGGGGGAGGTCGCTGGGGTCAGGAACCCAGGGCCTGGGCTGGCCAGGGAAGAGTTCTACCCCAGCTCTACGTTTGTGTCATATGTTTAACATTTATTTATCTCCTGTGTGCTTGTGTGTGCACATAAGGCAGAGCATGGAGAGGACATGTCTCACGAGGACAACTTGTGAGAGTCAGCTCTCCTCCTTCAACCACGTGGGTTCTGAATATAACTCAAGTCGTTCAGCTTGGTGGCTAGCACCTTTACCTGATCAGGCAACTTACTGGCCGCTTGTTCATTTTGGGGACCATGTAACCCAGGCTGGCCTCAAACCTTCTCTATAGGTAGCTAAGGCTGGCCTTAGAACTCCTGGCCTTCCTGCCTCAGCCTCCACAGTGGTGGTTATTGATTCATTTTGTTGAGAGAGTCTCCACAGGTTGTTCAGGCTGGTCTTCAACTCATTCTGTAGCCCAGGCAAACCCAAACCTTTCTATTCTCTTGCCCCTCAGCTCTTGAGTGGTTAGAATTACAGGCAAACACAACTCCTTGGAGTGGCTTGGAGGAGAGATTGGAACCCAGGTCTGGTCCTCTCCCCTGATTCACCTTAATGGCACACTGTGGGGTGGGGGTGGGGGATAAGGGGAGATAGCCAGAGACAGACAAAAGCAGTGGGAACAGGTAAGGTCATCTGGCTCCTCGAATCCCACAGACAAGGTTAACCAGCCACCTGGGTGCGGCCCCAGCCGGCCAAAGTCCCCTCACAGGCTCCACACCCACGTTCCTGACTCCAGGACCACGGAGGGTGCAGAGACAAAAAGGGACAGAAAATTGGAGATGGTGGCTCACACTGGTTATCTCAGCACTCTGAAGGCCCAGGCAGGAGGATTGTCCCTAGTCCGTGGCCAGCGTGGGCTACAGAGACCCTAAAAAAGTCAGGAAACAGGACAGGGGACAGGGACCCAGGGATAGGTTTGTAGAAACGCATGGACATCCGGAGAGAGAACCAGGGGACCTCGTGAATCCTCTGGGCAGGTTCGCAGCGCAGTGCCCATGTCTCTGCCTCCTTAAATCTCCAGCCGCCCGCCCCCATCCGCCTCCCTGTGACTCAGTGACCTGGACTCAACCCCAGTGGCCGCTCCACCTCCAGGGATGTCCGGGAAAGCCCCGAACTGCGGCCCCGCCCCGGGGCGGACCCTGAGGAGGCTGAGCTTCTGCTCCGCCTCCCCAGCTCCTGAACCTTTGAGTCAGGGCCCCAACCAGCCGGGCCTGTTCCCCACCCGCCAGCCCCTCCTCAGGGTGGGAAGGGAAGTGGGGGAAGCTGAGCGAGTCAGCCTGCACCCCCAAGCGCCACAAGTGACTGGCCTTGAGCCATAACTGCGGCCAGCTGGCCCAACCTCTATCTGCACTTTTCATCTCGCAGTATCTGTCTCCAGGTCTCTTCCCTCTGCATCTGGGATTCATCGGGCGCTAACTTCTCCTTTGAGACACACACACACACACACACACACACACACACACACACACACACCACAGACGCTAGTCCACCCGGTGGCCTGCAAGCCCCGAGGCACAAGGAAGGCAGAGGGTGGCTAGGGCCTGGGCACCAGCCAAAAATCAATCCCTGCCCTGCTGCCCTGGGCTGGGCTTTTCATTCGCACCCTGATGGTGCAGGCTGTCATCCACACTTCGTCAAGAGGCAGGCAGGGAGGTTCCAAGTTCAAAGTCATCCTGGGCTACCGAGCAAATGCAAGGCCAGTTTGGGCAGATTGGAAAGCAAAAAGAAGGCTGGGCCATAGCTCAGTGCTAGGACGGTTGCTTGCTGTGCACAAGTTCCTAGGTTCCAGTATTGCAAAAGGGGGGCGAGCGACTCAGGGCGAGCGACTCAGGGGGGAAGTGTATGGTCAAGGTTACCCAAGAGGAAGTAGGAATCAGGATTCGAACCCAAGTCCTAGCAACCCTGTGGCCTCCAAGAATTGCACGGTTGGGGCCAGAGGTGGTGGCTGGAAGACTCAGAAACACTAAAGAAAAGATGGAGCCTGTGACAGTAGGGTCAAAGAAGGGAGGTTGCTTTGGGGAAGGAAGATAGGAGGCAGAGGCAGGAGGATTGGGAGTTCAAGGCCATTCTTTGCTATAGCAAATTCAAGGCTAGCCTGGGCTACTTGATTCCTGATCTAAGAAAAAAATCAAGGCCCCGTGGAGCAGGAGTCTTCTCAGCACTCGAGGTGAAAACAGGAGGGATCAGTAGGTCAAGACCACCCTCTGCTTCATAGCAGAGGCTAGCCTGGACTACATAAGCTTCAGTCTAAAAAAAACAAGGAAAGAGAGAGAGAGAGAGAGAGAGAGAGAGAGAGAGAGAGAGAGAGAGAGAGATTAAGAGAGAGAGA